AATGTGCTCCCAATTAGAATTATTAGACAGCATAGGATTCATTTTCTGATAATCAGCTATATTTATTCCTAAATCCTGATGAAGCTAACTCATTACATAGACTACAGGCATGGCTGAAGACTTAAATAAAGTGGATGACTTTAGACTTTATGCTTTTGAATACAGACAAATGAGAACTTTTATTTTCTAGTTTTAGTCCATGAAGCAGAACCTCTATTTTTTAAACTAGGCTTAAAACTTTATTTTTCATAAAGATTATAGTTAGAATTGCTCAGGTTTTGCTGAGCTATCTATACAGTCCCGCTGCTATAGGCTTAGACTGCTAGAGGACCTAAGGACCACTTTACATCATTCTGCTTCCTCCTCTATCCACCCATCTTTTCCCATTTAAACCATCAGGGTTGCAGGGGGGCTGGTGCCTATCTGCAGCAGTTTATGGGCAAAAGGTGGGGGTGCACCCTGGGCAGGTCACCAGTCAATTGCAGGTCAACTAAGAGACACCAAATAATCTAAAAGTCATTTTGTGGACAATGGGAGGAAGCCGGAGAACCCAGAGAGAAACCACAGAGGCACTGGGAGAACATACAAACTCCATGCAAGAAGACTGTGGGACATGAATGGAACCCGGGACCTTCTTCCTCGAGGCAACCGTGCTATAAGCTGTGCCACTGTGAAGCCTCATGTTATCTCTACTCACCAATTCTGCAGTATTTGCTACTTCAACCCCTAACTTTGTCTCTCTGCTTTTCTCATTATATTAGCTACATCTGATCTGTTCCTGCTTCATCAGTTGGGCTGCTGTCATCAACACCTTCGATTGTAGATGATAAAGTTGGCCTTTTAGTGTTCAGTTCTCTTTCTCCTAGACATGTTTACCGGCTCTGCTTTTACTGTGATTAACTCCATATGCTTTTTTCATCCTTTTAACATCAAAGCTGGCTCCATGCTAATCTGTTTAAATGTTTATTTCCTAGACAGAGGGATATATAGACCTAGTTTACAGTTACCTTATCTAACAGAAAGTGTTTATGGATCTATGTCTTCTATGTTTCTCCTTGAACCCCGGGTCCACCTTGGCAGAAGGCCACTCACACAGAGATGTTCTGCTGGAGGTTTTTCCATGTTAAAGGGACGTTTTCCCTTCTGTTACTGCTGCTGCATGCATGCTCGATGTGAGAGGGTCAGCAACAAGCAAAATATCTACTGTGACTACTTTCTCATCTGTAGGACCGTGTCCTGCAAGTCAGTGACTCGATGCAATCCGCTGGTTTTCCTTTGGTTGACAATGTTTTTACCAATCTGACTGTATGAGCAGATATAATTGTCTCTGTAAAGTGCCTTTAGAGCACATGTGCTTAAAATTGGCACGATATAAAAGAATTGCATTGAAAACTACATTTAATTATTCATTCATCTTTTTTTATTATTATTAAACAATTAGACATTACAAAACATATAATTGAACATTTTACAGTTTAATGGTATATTTCACATCTATAGCAATTATCAAACAAAGAAATGAAAACTGTTACATCTATTTATTTTATGTAACAGTTACACATGTAGACAAAACAGTTGTTACCCCTAATTAGATAAAAGAAAAAAACACATTGGTCACAGAAAAAAAAAACTTGAGTCTTACAAAAATAATAAAAAATTTAAATTCTAAGAAAATTAACAAATGAAAGTCAATCATGGCTCTTCAACCATGCTTCAGCAGAATGGTTTTACAAAGTAAGTCCTGCAACAGGCCTGAAAAAAAACCTCTCCACCTTGCATCAACTACACTTTGTTGACAGTTCAGTAAAAATGATTAAAGACTACCATGTCTGATGACTTCTGAAATAGAAATCATCTTTCAAAGTACTCAATCTGAAAGAAAATTAGACAGCGACTATTTGTATAAACCAGCAAAGTTCATCTGTTTGCACATCCGCTGAATCTAAACATTAAACCGTTTAATCAACACTTTCAAAGCACCAACTACTGTATATGTGCAAATAACCATTTAGGTTTGCGTACTTCATGGCATCGCTTTGCTATTTTTTCATGTTTCCTTCTGGCCTCAGCACAAAGTGGGACATCGACAGACAGCCTGTCTGTGATCACAGCATGGTGCTGCTAACTCATCTTGATCGTAGTCTGCGGTGGAAACTGAACTGTCGGTGGCAATATCCCATAAGAGTTCCTCTCTCTTGAGTGCAACCCTCTGTGCAATAGCTCTGTACTCAGGTGTATCAAACTGCAAGGGCGTTTCCTCTGACTCATCATGCTCCAAGTCAAATATCAGAGGCGGGTCGTGGAGCTGCTCCGGTCCGGTTCCACCAGTGCAAGCTTCTGCTCCCCCTGTTGGAAACAAAACATTTTAATCCTAGTATTATGTTATTCCAGCAATACCTTTAAATACTTGAATAACAGGCATGAAAGTTGTATAATTTTGAACTTTCCTGTTTTTATAACCTTTCCGATCTAAAACTACTGGACTGGAGTTTCAAAACCCCAAAGTTTGGGGGCAACATTTGTTGATTTTTATGAATTCACACATAAACAAAAACATTCTATACAGAAAATGTTAAATATGCAATACCTCACCATGTATATATAGTCAGATATCCATTGGTTAGTTGTAGAGACAGATGGCTGTGGTGCAGTTAGCACTTAGCTCACAACAAAAAGAGCATGAACATGCAACCTGTGTGGATTCTTGGCTTGAAATGTGTCTATAAGGGTGTGTTTGGGAGTGAAATTAGTTTCTTATATCCTGGTTCTGATCAGGTTTATTTTAGAAATAGATATTTCAAACCCGAAATGTTGCCCTCAGATAAAGAAAAACTCTTAAGGATGCTTAAAAATAGCTGAGAATCAACAAGGCAATGCAATTGCTATGCACCGACTTTAAAACCCACTGGACTTGCTTGTAGGTATTATCCAATTATGTTCACTGTTAATTCACAATTTCTCCTTGAGTTTCCTAATTACTATGCACTAATTTATAGTACATGAAACCTGCAAAACTTCCGCCAGTTTCATCTGCTATGGATCGTCTTGAAACTTTACACGGCAGGCGAATTTGCTCAGTGGGTGAAAAACTGCTAAATCATGGATTCTGCTTGTCTTTGGTTTCACCTCATCATGGTGGACATGAATTTAAAAAGTGACTGGCAATGTTTTTTACTTTTGAAAGCTGAACAAAGCTTTTGGCGTTTCTGTTTAACCAGATACCAAGAGATGGAACAAATATGGGGAATACCCCCGACCCCCCCAGAGGGTATGCCTGGATGACAGTAGCTTTTAGCTGTACTTCTGTCTATCTGTGACCCAGTTTGTGGCTCTGCTATGCCACATTATGAATTACATTGACAGTACAGGGTTAGAGACACACAAGCAAAAATTGAAATGTGCCAGTTAGAAATAAAAAAAAGGAAAATCATAGAATACAGGACATTCAATGAAGGAGGATCGGATGGTGATGACAATAAAACTGTAACTGTAACCTGCACATCTTTGAGCTGCACACCGGTAAGCAGGTGTGCTCTATGCTGACATTTCTAAAGTCCTATTTTGTAGGCTAACGTTTGACTAGATCCTGGTTTTGTTGGATATAAAAGCTCATTAAAAAAAGAACAAATTGCAGTACTACTGGGTATTAACTTAGTCTAATCTATGAAAACACTCGGCCGCTGTCAAGTTCAGTAATAACGAGTCTATGTGGGTGCTGTGAGCTGAAGATTGTGGGAGTGTCTGCTCCATGTTTAGGGGTCACATCAACCAGAGCTGTAGTTTGTGTGTGTATGGCCATGTTTTCATTACTTTGTGGGGATATTTTCAAGGAACATGCCATATTTTGGGGACTTATAGGTAATTGTGTGGACCAAGGATTGGTCCTGATGAGGAAAGGTTCTCCTCTTGGTGGGGAAAGGTAGAAGTAAGGTTTAGGACCAAGAATCGACAAAAATATACTACTGACATGGAGAAGATGAAATCAGTCCTCAAGATGACATCAGTCCTCAAATATAAATACATGAAACTTCTGCTCTGAAACAAAGGACAGCTCAGATGCACCAATAAAACAGCTTAATTATTGACATTCATACTGATAAAGACCATATTTCAGCTTTCTGTGGGGCTGTAAAAATAGAGGGAAATGTGCTAAATGTCCATGTGAGTACTGAAGCTAAATGGTGGCTATAAAATAAATCGTCTTAACCAGAAAGGCATGCATGTCTTGTTATTCTAAAACACAACTTAGTACAGAGCTGCAGCAGTTTAATGTCACTATGATGACATTATGTATACACTTTGCCATAGTGGCAAAACAAGCATCATGGCACTCTTGACTCAATCTGAAATTGACAAGTACCTGTGATGTAGAAGGCTTTATGTTTTCCAACTCGAACTGTTTGCAAGTCTCCAAACTTTCCAGCAGCACCACTATTAGGGTGGAAGAGAAACTACAACACGAGAATAAAGTACAGTCCCATTTCACAACACATTTAAATGTAGGGGGGGAAAAAACAGTCATTAGGGTTTTGTTTGTACCTCATGACCAGAGTTTTCCTTGTGAAGGAAGATATTTGTTGCATCAATGCCATCATAACGCCTGTCTGAAGGGGGCACTACCCCTGCCATGGACAGAACAGTTGGAAAGATGTCCATACCACTGCATTATGGGAAAAGTGCAAGAAACGTGTATTAACGAATAAGAACAAAATTCAGTTTATTTATTCTTAAACACAGACAGACAGAACCATACTTTAATGATCAGTTTAAGGACCATTTGTAGCAAACAAGAATATTTTGTTGGTCCTCAGTTCCTATTTTGATCAAATTAAGTTTTGAAATTAGTTTAGGTTAGGGTTAGGTGTGTGCTGACAATGGTTTGGTCTTGGTTATTGTTAGGTCATATAACACTTTGAAAATGATCAAAGGTTAACAAAAGTCAATGGGAATCAACACAGGGTTCTCATTTCGTGTTGCAGGTTGAGAATGCGTGTGTGTGTTTGATGTGCAGTCCTGTATTTCTTAAATTCAATTATCCAAGAATATTCTACTTTGTGGAAACCTAGTTGACTGGTCCTATCAGAAACAAAATATCTTTTTGGGTTGGCCGTTAAGTTTAGTAATAAGGTGTGAATTGAGTTAAAGTTAGGTTAGAGCAGTGCTTCTCAAATAGTGGGGCGCACTCCCTTTACCTGGGGGGGGCGCGTGTGACCCTGGGGAACAGGCTTTTTTTTTTGGCCGTACTAGTGTAAAGTGTAATTGCGCATCCACTACAGTAGGCGGCAGTGGCGCTCTCATTGTAACTTCTGTCACGTTTGCGACAGTGCAACATTTTACGACTTACAAGACAACAGGTTTGCCTTGGTTAGCAGTGTTGAGTCAACAGAAAGCTGTGACTGCATTCTGTCTATAGCCTCTGTTATTCAACAAAACAACCCCGAACATGAAAAAGTTTTTAACAGGGATGAAAAGAAAAGCTGAGAGAGACAAAGATAATAAGACAAAAGAAAGTCACCCGAAAGCTAAGACGAGGAAATACGATGAAGCGTATTTAGCGCTTGGCTTCACTGTGACTACAGTTGGAGAAGAGGAAAGACTGGTGTGTTTGGCGAGGCTAAAAATGCTCACAGCGGACAGTATGAAGCCAAATAAATTAGCGCATCACTTAAATACGTTACGTTCCCAACAACGCCGATAAGCCGCTAGAGTTTTTTCAGCGAAAACGTGCTCAATATCGCCAACAGTCAACAAGGATTTATTTATTTTTAATTTCAGGCAATGATGCTCTTAAAATCTTTTCTGTTGCAGACTTAAAACACGATTTGATCAAGTTTGTTAGTTTAACCATATTTCTTTCTTTTTTCTTTTCTTTAATGTTAATAAGCATAAAATGTTATGAAGAGATGGATAGTCACTGAATAGTTTCTTCTTGTTGTGTTTCTTCTTGGGGGGGGCGTAACAGAAAATAATTGAGAAGCACTGGGTTAGAGTAAGGGTCTGGCTAATGTCATACAAATGAATGCAAAATGAAGGAAAGTCAATGCAAAGTCCCTGTAAGTATACCGGGATAAAACGTGTTTGTTTGGGGCACTGTATAGTCAGAACATTTGCAACAACATAGCCAGGGTTGGTGTATTATGGAGATGTTGGTTTTGTTTCTAGCAGGACCTGATGCCTGCACACGATGTCATCAGTACCAATATTGGCCTGCCCTAAACTCCTTAGATTCAGAAGAAAGACAAGGTACCTGAGGCAACAATGCAAATGAACTGAAAGCTGTGAGCTGTGCCTTTATTGCACTT